TTGAAGTAAGCGCTGTACGATCACTTTTTGTTTACAAATTAGCCACATGGGAGGTCACTTTGTATCTTGACGTACATATCTCTAGGTTTCCGAGTTTTGAATAGTGCAGGAATGGCCGTCCCTGCTTTCAAAGGCTCGGCATCTCAAAAGTGACTATGTCTGACTTTTAGTAAACTTAACTCAGCATATAGATGTCTTAGGTGAACTGGATTAACTTTCGTGGGGATAAACCTGAAGTCCTTCTGGCTTTAGGCAACCGAAGGCGAGAAAATCGTGGTTCTGGCCTAGCAGTCTAGGTCAAACCCCTACAAACCTGTGCCCATTCTAGAGCTTCACTCAGCGCTCGTATATTTGCGGCACCTCCGCTGCTGTTGATACTGGTGTTTTGAGAAGTTTGCTGCCTAGTTCCGGTGAATTCAGTGAAGTGGAAGAAATGCCAAAGCATTCGCATTTCATCTACACCTGTAGATGAAACACGATGGTTAAGCAAATGGTTACGGTAGGGAAGCTGGGAGAACTATTTGTGGTTATAATCGAGCCGCTTCGAATTTGGTAGCACATCATCCAGAATAAGTGGACGTTTAGTTGGCGAGTTGTTGCCCTCATCTTGTACCATGTCGAGGAACTGTAGCTCTGCTATATCACCCACTCTACTTGTTTGGTTAGAGTAGTGGTAGGACCCGGGTATTTGTGCATATACTTTGCAGCTACGCCTTCTCGCTTCTATCCGGCATCTGAATTCGAGACGCTCAAAAACAGTACCCAAGCAAAGAACACCACAATTCTTCTCTAATGAGAATTGTAGTCAAACCTCTCTATGATTACATTATCATAGATTTGTTGTACCATACTTGTATTGAAGTCAGTCATACGATGTCCGAGCCTACGTATACTCGGACTACGTATGACTGACTTTATACTGAAAGCTCCCAGTTCTCTTGCCCGTTCAGGGAACGTTTCGAGTTAAATTGTACTTTGCAATAAGATTTGTAGCGAAATGTACCTGAACCTTCACGGAAATGCTGCTACAAAGTAAGGTGCCCAGAAGTTTATTTGAATGAAAACTCCCACGTTCAGAGGAGTACATCACACGGCTTTTGTATTAGTCATAGATACTTTTAATTAAAAGTTCATTGAACCTCTAAGAGAAAACCGAGCTTCCACCGCGATAGTGTGAAGGACGGTTATTTTTAGGTGACAGTAAAGAACTACCTGTGATAAAGCCACAGACCATGATAATTTGAGGTTTTTCAAGTTAAATAGCGGAAGCGTTGGTGCAGATTAGTGCATCGATGGCGGAAAAGCGAAAAAAACCCTTTGCAAAGCATATAAGGGTCCCTAGAACTGGTCAAAATAGGGGTTGTACGAGATTGTGACGACAGAAATTTCTGGAAAGGTTACTTGGACGAGATTTCAGTGGTGTGCAATTGCGTGAATAGTTGGCTACAGTAAGCAGAGAAAGGGAACGATTTCCCACTGCCGCTATAGATCACGGCCCTGAACGATCTGTTTCTGCCCTGTTGGAACTATTATGCCCTATCTAGGCCTTTTTCAACCCGGCAACGGCCCATATGCAATTCTTGAGGCCAGAGATTCTTCTCACTACGGAATCACATTTTTATTGTGGTCTATGCTTTTGAAGTCGTCCATTTCTGGCTTCTGATGGACCCTTAGGACCTCTGTATTTTCCATGGTAGTTGTGCTGTCGCGTTTTTATTCGATTTCCACCCATCTTGCTCTGGGGGGAGCTGATTCCTGAGAAGATCGAGTCAGTCGTTAGCGAGGTTTTTTCTCCAGCGTTTAATTCAATTTCTGGTCAGCTGGCGTCATCGCAGGGTGGATGTTTGGCTGATTTCAATCTAACGTAGCGATTTCAGTATGAAGATTTGAAGAGAACATTGCTGAGGTCAAAGGAGGACTTGGAATTGGCTCAGGAAGAATTGAAAAAGGGCGAAAATATGTTCCGAAAAAGAACTGTCAAAAAAGCCAACGAAAAATACGAGGCTGATCTCAGAGCGGTAGGGTTTTCTCCCACTAGCTCGGAGGAATCCTGGACACATGTTTTCAGCTGGAAAGCTTCCTGACGGGTACGATACCAGGGCAGAAGATTGAGCACTTGAAAGAAATTGAAGCGATGATGTCCGAGATACAGGTAGTCTTGGCGAGGAAGCTTCTAGTAGCGAGCAGTAAACTACACACAACTTTTTTAGTCCTACCACGAATGGGTGTCATCATACTGTAGTCCATTGGCGAGCTACAAAGTAACGCAGCCACCGAATCTCTAAGGAAACGATTCCGTCTGTCGTTTCAAATGTCAATAAAACATATCACAATTTTTGAAGACTGTAGTTTTATCGACAATAAAACCTATCAAAACGAAATTGTTGAATAAAATGTGATTGGCAGTTCAGTTCAATTAATGTCATTTTGAAAGGCGAGTTCGGTCTGAATTCGGAGGGCAAAGTTCAGTCCTCGGCATACGTCTCTAGGGGCGGGAAATCCCATTTCCATCGCTTCACTTGATTCCATGGCACGTCCAAGTAGAGTCCGTCCGGCTTTATAAACCTGAAAATAGCGTTATTGTCGTTATAACATCTTCCATTTCCTTTCTTTCCTCATATTCCCACTAAGGAAACATGATGCATTCCATTAATCTTTCGTTTTGGAGGAAATTCTTACAACCTGAGTCTTTCGGGAGCCATCCACGTTCTAGAAGTTGATCAGATCCGTCCGTGGGATCCCACGGCTGCCCATATTCAAAACAGTGCTTTTATCCTTTGCTGATCCACCAGGAAGGACGGAAGTCTTAATTCCTAGAGCGGAGATCAGTCCGGGATTTGCGCACCTACACCGCTTCCGCCCATACCCTTTAGGTATAGGTTTAAAACTTTCTTGATGGTATCGATTTTGGGGTGTTCAAAACGCTCAAAGCAAATCTGCGTCCAATTTCGTATTACGGTAACAAGCTGATTCTGTTGTATCAGAACGTAATTGGCCCCATTCCAATGCAGNGCAGTGGCATGCTAGGAGGGCGTGAATCAGAGCAGCAGTTATAGCTTATGAGGTGCAACGAAATCCTTCCCCTACTCGCCTACTGGAGTTGCCGAAAGTCGGTTTTTTTTCCGTGACCTTACTTTTTCCCATCTCTTTCTATTCTTCAGCATTTCTGAAACCTATAGTCATCGCCCAACTGGGAAAGGGAATGGTTACGAGTGTTCCCACGCCGTTATGCTCTTGTGAGTTGCGTTGAGCTGGCGGGAGGCTTTAAGCAATTAAGGATAAAAGATAGGATAAAGTCTTGAGCGTAAATCAATCCCGTCTGAGGGATGCACCCCGCATTCAACTTCCATTCAGGATCGTAGTAGCGTATTGAATGCGTATGTGGCTTATACAATGAATTGCGGTGGCCAATCGGTGTATAAGTCAGTACTTTTATCCTCCTAGACAAGTGTGGTACCAATTAACCGACCCCAGAGGGATGGAAGCCTTGGTTAGCCCGGGCAGATATCGATCAGGGATTCGAACCCGTGACCATGCTATGAGATAAATGAGGTGCGTGTGAAATGAATGTGAGATAAGTAATTAGCTCTATTATTTTGTTAAACCTTTGGAGCTTCTGGGAAATTTATAAAAAAGAAAAAGAAAAGGGAGCGGGACAAACCACCTTTCCTTGTGTGTACTACTTTCCCTTTGTTCCTCGCCCACTCACTTTTTTCTTCAGTGATGCATACTTATCTATGACTCCATGGAACTTCAACTCCCCGTGAAGTTTCCCTGCTCTTGTTTAGTCGTACCCCACTTCGAACTTCCCCAGACAACAATCAGTGCATTAAAAGGCCTATGAAAGTCTCTCCTGTTCGAAATAGTAACCTCCTACTTCAGTACGGACGTCATACGAACCGGAAACACCCTCATTGGTCAGTGAGGCGGGTCAAAAACTATTCAACCAGCTTGCTATTCCACCCACCTACTTCTTGGATAACTATTTTTGGCATTTGACGGTAAACAAACAACTGTTGACAATGCTTTGCTCTTTAGATCTCCCTTTTGTATGACTTTTCACTCCTCTGCTCAGTCTCTCGGGACGGGAGTACTCCTCTCCACCACCATCCCCCCACGGCGTCTGAAAACGGTTCCTTCATGGTTCCTGGTAGTGGGAAATGGTTTAGATCAGTAGATGAAAGAGGGCTAGGTGTTCGTAGGGCTTCAGTGACTCACCCATTCGCCAGACATGCAGAGATCTATCAGATGATTACTGTTAACCAGTAGTTACTCAATTTCCGATTCCTCCTAATAGGCACTCCCTTCCCTCATCCCTCACCGACAGAAATGTTGCAATTGTTCATCACTTTGTTGTTTTCCCACATTAATTTTTATTCTATTACCCGGTAATATTTGGATCATTAATTATAGTTATTATTATAAGCCATGGCCTAGGTGGCTCTGATGTTCAGCGCCAACTGCACACTCATGGCTTTTTCGAGGGACCAAATCACGTCCCAGGTGCTTACAATGGGGCTTGCCGCGGTGCTAGTATATGGGTGTATCGGCCAAATAAGCCAAGTATGTTAGCTGAGCCTACATTCAAATGATTCCATTAACCTTAATGAAAATCTGCTGGTCCCAAGTGGACTAACCGGCATCAATGGCTTCAGGTTTTCACCTTCTTTTGTGACCTTCTTGCCGGTTTCCGTAATGCTCTCATAAACTTAGAAATCTGCCCAGTGCATTATCCAGATTGCCCTGAGCATTACTTTGCTTTTTGAGAGCGCTAACATAGGTTCTAATACCCTAGAAAATGGTTATGTGTCCACCTACCCGAGCCTTTCAGTCGCAATAAATTCTTTCAAGTCGGAAAAGGCTTGAGTGAAACCCCTCACATAAATCCGAATCAATTCAATTAGGAATTGTCTTCATTTGGTAGAACTACATTAATGCTGCAGATTTAAGAAAAAACCTAATCTTTCTTATAATGCCGCTTTCATCTCAAGACTAATGGAGCCACTCAGCACACCGATCATGAAGATTTGGGAAAGCACTCGGGGAAGGTGTAGAGCTTTACTGGGAGCAAAATGACGTTCTCTGCTTGGGAGACGAGTAGTACACTTCATGAGAATGGTGGCGGATAGCGCCATGCTTTCTCCTCGTCCTCTGATTTCTTCGTTAGTTTCCTTTCCGTCAAAGTAGACTCGTATCGACCTGGTTGGCGAATCTTGGGATCCTTCCTTTTCAATGTGTTTTCCTGTCCTCCCTGATTTCTCCAAACCACTTTGTGCAAACCATGGGACTTCCCCATTCGGATAATAGCTTTCCAGCTGTTGGCTTTTATGGGGCATNCTCTGCTTGGGAGACGAGTGGTACACTTCATGAGAATGGTGGCGGATAGCGCCATGCTTTCTCCTCGTCCTCTGGTTTCTTCGTTAGTTTCCTTTCCGTCAAACTAGACCCGTATCGACCTGGTAGGCGAATCTTGGGATCCTTCCTTTTCAAAGTGTTTTCCTGTCCTCCCTAATTTCTCCAAACCACTTTGTGCAGACCATGGGACTTCCCCATTCGGATAATAGCTTTCCAGCTGTTGGCTTTTATGGGGCATGTTCACATAATATTCCGAGGGTTGACTCTGTAATTATTATGTAAAGATTCCCCATAAAAGCATTCGAATACTTCTTGGAGTCCTTGCACCTAGCAACTGAATCCGTTGTCCCGTGAACAAGTAGAAAATGATGTAAGAGGACCGGCACATTTTACTTGCCATTTAGGCTATTCTCCTCTGTTCAATGGTCCTAGTCCAAAAGAGGTTCTCGTAGGTCCCTTCTTGACTTTGGCCTTGCCATTCTTCGGGATATGGCCTGAATAAGGGTCCGCTCAACCCTTTTATCTCCATACCAAGACGTCATAAAAACGAAGGTGTCTTCCCACTGAAGGAATGAAGCTGAGAAGAACGGTGGAATTGTTACTTATCAAATATCCAGATTAAATACTGTAACTAGCTCCTGTTTCATGTCTTCCTCCCGTTCAATTCGGAATGGATGTGTCAGCATGGCGCGTTCGTGAGAAGTGCCTGGCTTTTGGCGTTTTGGA